GTCGACTCTGAATCCGCGATTGTTATGGGTTTGGCTGTGCTCTCAGATGCGGTGATCTCGGGTGAGTTTGAAAACCACTTGGTCAACTCAAACCCTGCGGTCTGAAGAACCTGAGACACTTCGGACTTAATTGCCCTTAGCTCCTCTACGCATGCATCACCAGTCAACAAGTCATCGACGTAAAAGTCGGACCCAATAACGTTAGCAGCTCTAGGGAATGAGAGCTTCGCAGACTCACTCAACCTTTGCAAACACCGGATAGCTAAGAATAGGGCTGGTCCAGTCCCATAGGTTACAGTGTTGAGCTTGTATAATCTCAAGGATTCAGAAGGGTCTCTTCTCCACACTATGAGCTAAAACTGCCGATTCGCTTCGTTCACCATCACATGGCGATACATCTTTTTAACATCAACAGTCAGGGCAAACCTGTGCAGACGGAAACGGAGCAGTGTCGAGTATAATTCCTCTTGAATGGTAGGTCCCACCATCAGAATATCATTTAAGGCCACCTGTGAGGACGTCTTGGACGAAGCATCGAACACGACTCGGAGCTTGGTAGACGAACTTTGGGGCCTCAGAACACACTGACGAGGGATTACGTAGTGTGGAGTAGAAGGAATTGTATTGTCAGTAGGAGACATATGACCTAAGGAGAGGTACTCTTCCATGAATTCCAAGTACATTTTCTTCAACTCAGGGTCACGATGCAATCGTCTTTCAAGCGACAAAAACCGCCGTTTCGCAACCTCAAAGGAGTTGCCTAAACAATTTGGATCCGATTTAAACGGGAGCCTTACTTCGTACCAACCTGATGATAGTACCTGAGTCGTCTTACGATAGTGTTCTTCACATAGCTTTTGCTCAGGTGTGGCAATTTTCTTGGTAGATGTCATTTCTTCCAGTGACCAAAACTTTTTCAAGGTCCTATCGATGGATACTAGCAACTCTTCACTGCAACTCAAACTGTTTGTAATTTGAGGAGCAGAACTCCTGGAAACATATTTTCCCGACACAACCCGACCAAGAAGGGTTTTCTGAAGAGCTGGAAAGTCAGGACCTTGTTTAATTTGACCAACAGCTAATAGTTCAAAGAACGATTCTGCTCCAATTAGCATATCTATTCTTTGTTGCTTGTAGAAATAAGGGTCTGACAGTGGTAGGTTCTCTGGGATTCGCCAGTCAGTCACATTCACTGACTGGTCAGGGTGATAACCTGAAATTGATTTCAGGATCCAAAAATCAAAGGAGAACTCACTACCATTTATTCGCTACTTCACCACTGTGTGTATTTTATCCTTTACTTGAGAATTAGACTCACCAATTCCAAGCAAGTTAATACAGGACTCCTCTCTACGGATCTGTAAGCGATTAGCCTGGTCCTCGGTAATGAAATTTGTTTGTGATCCAGAGTCGAGCAGAGCTCTGGCCAGAATGTGCTCACCGCTCTTAGTTCGGACGCTTACGATCGCCAGAATTACCCTGTCCAACGCTGTCGCATGCAAAACATGTGACGTGGAAGGTTGATTCTGATTTGATGGAGGAGAAGGGCTCTCTTGGGGTGGTGGCAACGCGAGACTATTAGCCGACATTGTGTATCGATGCAATAATGTATGATGTGAGCGGGTGCACACTCGACATTTATTGGCTTTGCATTTTACAACAGCGTGGCCTTTTCCCAGACAATTAATGCATAGGTATGCCGACTTAGCAAACTCAAACCTTTGCATCACCGAGAGACGCGAAAATGGAGGGCAATTTGACACTACTTGGTCTCCTGAATTGCAGTAGCTACAAGTTTGCTGAGTTCTACTGTTCGTGGAAGTGGAAGAACAAGTAAATGAACTGCGATTATGTTGCTGGCTTGGCATGACTTTGTCTTGCCTTGGCTTGGTCGATTCTTCAGCAGACAGATGCTGGTATCGACGATTCAAGACTTTCTCAAAGTCGGACCAAAGCGGCAACTTCTCATAAGTAAGCTGTTCATCCCACTTTTGTTTCGTCACTGGGTCGACTCTGTTTAAAACGAGATGAATGAGCATTGCATTCGAAATTTTTGTATCATCTTCGATCGACAGTAACGATTCGTAAATCGACGAAACAGTATCGATTAGAGTTCTTAGAAATGATGCAGATTGATGCGATATTCTCGGCAGATTGAACAATGTGGAAATATTATTCGTGAAATCAAATGATTAAATTTTTCGATCACCGGTATGCTGTTGTCGCTATGGACTAGTCTCTCAAAAAGGCTAATGAAATTTTTGAACTCCGAGTGCTTACCACTAAATTTGGGTAATGCCAATTTCGGAAGTCTAGCATGAATTCGGGCTGAAGAAGACACTGGCTTCGTCTCGCTTGCTGCATCAAAGGCGGCGATAAGCGACATTATCTTTCCCTTGGTGACAATCGTCAGCTCTTCCAACTCGGCTGCATATGCATCATCACCTGTTATGTCCTCGATTTGCTCCTGCAAATGGTTAGCCTTTTCAATTGAAGCATTCAAACAATCTAATCTACATTGTAATTCCGGTAATTGCAAAGGAATCGACCCTTGATCTAATCGATCCTCTAAGCGGCGAATGCTTTTTACTCGACTTTTGAGGTTAATCTTTAAGTCTTCAAGAGTGGATTTACTGTTTTCTGCCATAATATTTGTGTATGAAGATTTTACGCAACAAACCACTATTATTTCTATTTATTATTATTATTATTTTTTTTTAATGTTTGAACGAGAACGATAATCGAAAACGAATTTTAATTGAATGTCGAGGCACGAGGTATCAAGGGAAAGAGTAGTTGCAAGTGACGGCCGAAAACAATATACCTGTTAGATACAGGGTAGCGCGTCACTTGGCAAGTAACAGCCGAAAAGAATATACCCGTTAGATACAGGGTAGCGCGTCACTTGGTGCACCGTTAAGCTCAAGAGCGGCAACGAAAATTCTCCCAACAAATACAACGCAAGCAGCAGTGGAGAAGCGAAAGCGAAAACGAAATAATGCACCGGTGCTGCTGCTTGTGTGTATGTGGGGATATTTTCTATACGCCGTGGCTTGGGAGAACGAACGAACAAACTTTGTGAGGTTCTAACGACGAGAAAGGTACAACCAAATAAAAGGGGGGGGAGGGCAACAGTGATTGCAGTAAACGAAAGATGTATGTACATATAACTGTTGCGTCCAAATAGCGGTTCACATATGTCTGTATGTGTCGATATGTATTTATTTATGTGTGTTTAGTTATATTTATGCAATTACTAATAAAATGCATGCAATCAAGCTCTACTATATGTATATCATACGTCTGTGCCTAGAATTGAAAGCGATGTGCAATGTTTTCAGCACAAGACACCTCAAAGAGAGATCTGAATGTCCTTTGCTCAGCCTTCAATTTTCTGCACAAATACCTCTGATTCCTCTTTTGGATCTTTGAATCCAACTGCTACTTTCCTGGCTTTATCGCAGGGCATCCCTCGGCGGTAGCAGAAACTTGCACAAAAATTATTCTTGGCGCGACCGACGCGATGATATTATGCAAATTGATTGCCGATTGACACACACCACGACGCGGGCAACGAATATGTTATCATATACTGCAATTTCTTGTGTCACTGTCACTTATTGTTGTTGCCTATAATTAACTTTACAGTCCACCCGGGGGCGCCATGAAAAATTAGAAGAGTTTTTCTAATGAATTAACCGAAAACTTTGGGTGGCTGTAATTTAAATTATTTATTCGGCAGGGCGAAAAATTGATACGCTCGATCTATTTCAATGTTGGCGAACTATATTTCCTTCACAATTAAAATCTCTTACTCTAGCTAACCTACGGTGGCAAAGCGGGGCGAATTCGCCAAGAGCGAGAGAGCGAGCTTTTATTGCGCTCCCGCTTTGCCCTAGCTTAACTTACACTTACACTTCATAATTAAGATCAAATAATTTATAATCGCCGCCATTGATGGAAGGTCACGCAACACTGCCATTCGACTCCGGATAGCAACGGTTCGATCCACCCCCTACAAACAACATAAGTACATATTTTTGTCAAAACATATTATGTGGGTACTAACACATGCAAAGATGATCTCTCTTCGTTTGGCTCATGATGACTCGGCGGTTGCCAAACGCCAGACCTGAACCCCATGGGACGGGACATTCTGTTTTCGACGTGCGACATGTTCGTTCTATGAACTGGCACATCTATATACTGTATGGCTAGTGACAATATCAGAAGAAAATGAAAAAGGATGACATTTCGTGTCTGGTAGAGATCGCCAGAGACCAACTCGAAGAACAGAAGGGCCACCACAGAAAGAAGGAAGAGCAGTACCCAGTACCCAAACGAAATTCCAGAACGACTTGTTAAAAGTTTCAAAAAATATAAGTAAATAAGTTACTAATTTTCATTACGGTCTACCCAATATTTTGCGATTTCAGATCGTATCTGTTCTGCTGACCGATCAAAGTCAGCAGAACTGTTGCTGCTATCGGGCTATTCGCGCTGGTAATATGTTGCAAGCTCCCAATTTTCCTTAATCGCGCTGTTGTGCATAGTTAATATATTGTGTAAAATACTACAGCACAATATTATGGCGCTATTGTCAAGAACTATTAAGAATTTTTCCGATTAATGCTATTTGCCGAAAAAATTGCTATATCTTCATCATCCATTATAAGAAAAAAAATGAATAAATATTTCGCGCAAATTTAATTTACTTGTTATTTGCATCAGCTGTTTTTGACGGATGTGGATGGTGCCAGTGTGAATCGGAGTTTCACATCTGTAAACAAAATCCCACCATTCCCCCTGGATGGGCTCCGTGTGCAGAGCCCACAATTGTTCAACCATAGAGAGTATCGGTAGAGCTATCGATTTTGTTATCAACCCTACAGACATGTTTCTGCCTTCTGTCTCTGTCCTCTTGAAATGCACTCTTAATATAATAACAAATTCTCGCCGTATTACTATGGATATAAATAAAGTATATATTCGCTATGTGGAAGTAACAGATGAAATAAATATTGTATTTCGATATGTTAACCAAGAACTTAACGTGGATCGAGACTTTAGCTTTTGTCGAAAAAAGGGTGAACCTGTTTTTAAACTTCTTTTGCGCATTCGAAGCAACGTCGAAAAAGAACTTGAAAAATCTTTGAATAAATCAAGCAAACGTGGCTCAACTGCTGAACAAAATTCAAGAGCCCTACCTGAGGTAAGTTTAAAAAAAGAAATTTTACATTCAGATAACATTCCTTTTTTCGAATTTAATTCTTAAAACTCTGAAGGTAAAAATTGAAATGTATCGTGACAGATGTGATAGCAGCTTCCATCAGATAACATTGGCTGAACTGCTACAAGACAATTTTACTGGTGTAAAACTGCGTGTGATAGATCAAATATTCGATATCGTGTTAAACCAACCGTGGGTAGATTTGCTGCAACTCCCAAAGTGCATATTAGCTGGCTGCCTGATTTACCCAAGTAAATTACATATTCAGTTCGCTGTTCGTGAGCATTGCTACGGTATGTGGTTCAAATCAACACAGGTAAAGCCTCTTCCGTAATCTCTTCTAGTTCTCTATCAATTTAAATTCTTTTACAGCGGGATGCCAAAACGGCGAATTGGGAGAAATGTGGTGAAGGTCTTACTTATCAAATAGCGAAAAAAGACGTTGGATACTATATAAAGTTTGCTGTTATTCCACGAAATAAACAAGGAATAAGCGGACCTATGGCAGAAGAGATTTCAAAATGTGTGGTACAGGCTGGTCCAGATTTTTTTCCTTTTCAGATGCGACAGCGACACACAGCAAATTTACTAATGGAGCCTAGCCATTTTCGGGTGGTAACCTATAATATATTGGCAGACTTGTATGCGGACAGTGAATACTCTCGTCAAACCTTATTTCCCTATTGTTCACGACAATCTCTGCTAACTGACTACAGAAAACAACTATTAATAAAAGAACTTATAGGGTACAATGCTGATTTAATTTGTCTTCAAGAAGTAGACCAAAAGATTTTCGACGTCGATTTTAAAAGTGTACTGGAAATGCCACCACACAATTTTTATGGAATGATGGCACCAAAAGGCACGTGCACTGAAGGTGTTTCCGTTTTCTATCGTAGGTCGCGTTTTGATTTGTTGGGATCTCATGTACTGCATCTGGGCAACAGCATACCGGCTTTACCTATTTTCGAACCTCTTTGGAACAAAATTAAAACTAATAAGAAACTAGCAGCACGCATTTGTAATCGATCAACAACTCTACAGGTGCATTTACAGTGGAGAGCACAAATTTTTTCACTTTAATAATTGTTTGAAAATATTTGTTCCAATGGGCCTTGGGTTTTATCTTATTCCAAATAAGTTTTGGCATACTCTCGACTAAATTTAGCAGGTCCTTGCAAGGTATCATGCGCCATTCCGACTTCACGCGATCCCAAAGACAGACGCGTACTTTTCCAATGTTTTTTAAACAATAGAACAATGAATAATGAATAGAATAATGAAGATAGAATATTATCTTTATACTTAGGAACCCATTTTGTCAAATTTTTTAGACAAATGTGTCTTCCCAACATCCGAAATAACTTTATAGCAAGACGGTGGCCCGACGAACAAGGCTAAACTCGTGAAAAATCTACAAATAACTCAAGTTTTCACTTAATCCAGTGGCCTGCTGAATAGCCCAGATCCAAATCCCATTGAAAATCGATGGGCTCTGTTTAAAAAACATTGGAAAAGTACGAGTCTGCACCAAAGGGATTGGGTGAGTCTTTAGAAGCGCGTGAAGTCGGAGTGGCGCATGATACCTTGCAAGATAAAACCTAAGGCCCTTTGGAACAAATATTTTTAAAAAATTTAAAACGTGCCAAAGTGGATACATGCACTTTTTTTTTAACAAATTAAAATCTCGTAAGGAAAAGGATCTCTTTGAATTGAAATTATTGTTTTTTTTCTTTCTCCCTAAATTAAAGAATCTATGAAACAAAATCACAAGGATTGATCCTTTTTTAAAGATTTTACAGGCGTTTAAAGTGAAAAGTGATAAACATGTATCCACATGTGCTCGCCACTATATATACATATATCGATAAATTATAAATGTAAACTAATAATCAAATTCCTTGCAGATTTGTTTGCTTAAAGTTAAGAAAACTGATAAGTACATGCTGGTGGCCAACACACATTTATATTTTCACCCGGACGCAGACCACATCAGGTTGTTGCAAATCGGGTTTGCTCTGACTTACATCGAGTACTTACATAAACAGTCTGTGAAGGAACATAATATCACTGACCCACAAAATATTGGACTAATATTTTGCGGTGACTTTAATAGTGTTCCTGATTGCGGAGTCTACAAATTAATGACCGAGCAGTTCGTAGATAAACAATTTAGTGATTGGTGCAGCAGTAGGTTAAAGAAAGGCTTTGTTAAGAACTGATAACTTTTAATCGAAAATGTATCTATTTTAGATCCTGATGAAGCCGTTGTAGATGTGGAGCTCGCGCAGCCTTTTAAAATGTTTTCAGCCTGCGGTAAACCTAGGTATACAAACTACACGGCTCTCTTTTCTGGATGCTTGGATTATATATTTTGCCAGCAGGATCGCTTTGAACTACTACAATGTTTACCATTGCCAACGGAAGAACAACTAACCGCTCATACTGCTATACCATCTATCTGTTTTCCATCAGATCACATTGCTCTGGTGGCCGATTTAAGCTTTGAGTCTGTCAGTTAAACTTTTTCAAAATGTTTGGAACCATTTATTTGTATTTAAATTAGCAAATTTCAAACATTAATCAAATTCGCCATTATTAGAAAACATGTAAATCTCCCATAGTGATTTTTTATTTTTGAAATTTTTTAGTATAGTAGATGTTGGAGTACTTATTATAGTCTTACATGAATTTCATCGATGAAGTCAATTATTGTTTGGTACGTTTGGTATGTTTTCTTTTTTTTATACCCGATACTCAAAATGAGTATTGGGGTATATTAGATTTGTGGTAAAAGTGGATGTGTGTAACGTCCAGAAGGAATCGTTTCCGACCCCATAAAGTATATATATTCTTGATCAGCATCAATAGCCGAGTCGATTGAGCCATGTCTGTCTGTCCGTCTGTCCGTCCCCTTCATCGCCTAATGCTCAAAGACTATAAGAGCTAGAGCAACGATGTTTTGGATCCAGACTTCTGTGATTGTGGCACCCACAATTTTAAAGATACGAGAAAAGCAAAAACAACGAATCGTAGAGAATGACTATATCTTTTAGACTGCAGAATCTGAATTGGATCGCATTATTATTATAGCCAGCATCAAGAAAACAATTTAATTTTTTCTCGCCCTGTCTCTCTCTAACACACGTGGCATAGGCGGCTTTGCTTAAAGTAAAACATTAGAGCCTAGATCTCAGAGACTATAAAAGCTAGAGCAACCAAATTTGGTATCCACACTCCTAATATATCGGACCGAGACGAGTTTGTTTCAAAATTTCGCCACACCCCCTTCCGCCCCCGCAAAGGATGAAAATCTGGGGATATTCACAAATCTCAGAGACTATTAAGGCTAGAGTAACCAATATTAGTATCCGCACTCCTGTTAGATCTCACTATAAAACGTATATCTCAAAATTTCGCAGAATCATAGAGAACGACCATATCTATCAGATTGCTGAATCTGGATCAGATCAGATCATTTTTATAGCCAAAAGGAACCAATCAATTTGCACTGGCTACGCAGCGCCCGACGTCACGCTCAGACTGATTTTCTGTCTCTCTCGCACGCACTCTTTGTCGTGTCGTTTAATATTAGCGGCGTCTGCCGGAGGAGAGCCATACTGACTTAGTATCGGGTATAACTGTAGAGTTGCGGTGTCCGCAGCAACTCACAACGTTCCCCCTCGTTTTTTTTGTCGATATGTTTCATTTTTAATTTTTTTTTTTTGGCAACAAGAACAGCTGAGCTTGCTGCTTAGTAAAAATGTAACGTGATTAAAATGACTTCTATTTTTACAATTGCTTGTTTTGAAGCAAAACGACGGCAGAAAATACGTGGTCTAAGAAGATCCAGACATCTTAGATGCCTTGTGTATTTAACATGTCTAACGAACTGAGAGTAATGATGCATATTGAAAATTAAATTGCTAATGGCTAAGATTTTGTAACGGTTGCGGGTGGGCACTACCGATACAGGTGTAGCGCTTGTAGCAGCAAATTCGGAGTTTTTGGGGCGCCATCTGGTGCTCAGAGTGGCAGGCGAATGATGGGTCGAGGGAAAACCAAAGAGGCGTTAACAGGTCGAAAAGTCAGGCTATCTCGGTTAAAAATTCATCCAGGGACCTGTTAGAGGATTTGCCGCCGAACGTTGGTGTCCCTATTGGCTATTCCCTCGTGAAAGTCAATTGAGTCGGTTGCGCATCGGTCCGACGAAAAGGAAAAAGAAAGAATTTAGTGAAAGAAAAACGCTAGGAAATCTAAATATCTAAATCCAATATTCGACTGCGAGCTTCTTTGTTGAAGGCGAGTGGGCTATTCAGTCGTCAGAAGCCGTATAGCGCTGAGTCCGATTGGGGTCTTGGCGCTTAGCAAACCGAGTTAGGTTAGGTTAGGTAGAGACGGCCGCCAAGCTCCCTCGGAGCCCAGCACACATAGGCCGGTTTCGGCCCGTTGTGATACCGTTTGGGATCATTCCCTCCCTGCAGATGAGACTTCATGTCAACAGTTGTCCCATCCAGATGCCCTTATAAAGTTGACGATCTTTCTGGGACATAGCGTGGACATCTCCGAGATGTCGTTCAGAAAGGCAGAGCCCAAGTAATGCAGCCTCCTTCTGCTGAGAGCTGGACAGGAACAGAACAGGTGTTCCACTGTTTCCTCCTCGTCCTCGTCTCTGCAGCTGCGGCAGAAATCATTGTATGGGGCACCCAGCCTGTTTGCGTGGGTGCCTACTAGCCAGTGTCCTGTGAGGGAACGTATGACTGCGCTGCACCTTTCCCTGCCTAGTTTGCAGAGCTCTGAGGTGCGCTTCTTGTCTATGGTCGGCCATGTTTGCCGAGCTGTGCGACAACGTGGCCCTGTTTGCCACTTGTTGTCTATCAGTAGCGTGTACTGTTCTTTTATGATGAGCTTGCAGGTGGCCATAGGCATACAAATATCCTCCTTATCTTGGAGAAGGGGGGTTGTAGTGCCAGATCTGGCCAGCTCGTCCGCTATGCAGTTGCCCTCGATATCCCGGTGACCCGGGACTCATATAAGGCTGATAGCAAATTGCTGAGCCATCTCGTGAAGAGATCTGCGGCACTTCGCCACAGTAGCCGAGTTCGAGGAGATCGCGTTAAGTGATCTGATCGCAGCTTGGCTGTCGCTGTAGATGTTTAGATTGGTTGCCGTGGTGGTAACCGTATGAAGGCAGTACAGAGCCTCCCTGATTGCTGTAACTTCCGCTTGGAAGACGCTACAGTGATCCGGAAGCCTGAAAGATTGCCTTATGTTAAGTTGTTCAGAGTAGATTCCTCCTCCAACCCTGCCGTCCAGTTTTGAGCCATCCGTGAAGATGCTTATGGCCCCGTCTGGGCCGGGGGGTCCCTCGAGCCAATCGTCTCTATGAGGGATGATTATGCTGAATGGAGTCTCCGTGTGCTCCATTGGAACTTGATAGTCCGTTCTTGCTGGGACCTTGTTGTTTTTGTTTAGTATAGATGAGTGACCTATGTTCTGGGGTACCCATTGTTCAGAGTCCCTAAGACGTATTGCTGCCATTTCTGCCCGCTCCTTTCCTGCAAAGTCAAGGCTCTGAAGGCATAACATGGCGTTTAGCGCATCATTTGGTGTAGTTCGAAGAGCTCCACTGATGCAGAGGGCGGCTGTTCGCTGAACCTTGCCCAGCTGATTGGTTATTGTCCTTTTCGCTAGGGCAGGCCACCAGACAGTAACTCCGTAGAGTATTATAGGTCTGACTATTGCCAGATATATCCATCGGACTATGCTTGGGTTCATGCCCCACTTTAGGCCGATAGCTTTTTTGCAAGTATAGAGTGCTGTCGTTGCCTTCCTCACTCTATCCTTGACATTCAGGTTCCAGCTAAGCTTTTTGTCAATTACCAACCCTAAGTAACTGGCACTGTCGCTGAAGGAGAGCCTGTATCCGTTTAGTGTTGGGGGGTTGAGGGGCGGCACCTTGTATTTTTTTGTGAATAACACGAGTTCCGTTTTCGAGGGATTCAGTCCCAATCCGCGCGATTCTGTCCATTCGGACAATCGAGCAAGCTTTGCGGTCATTAGGTCGCATAGTGTTTGGGGGTATTTCCCCGCAAAGATAATTGCAACGTCATCCGCGTATGCCACTACTTTACAGCCCCCCTCTTCCAGGTCGCATAGAATCTTATTGACTGCAATGTTCCATAGAAGAGGAGACAGAACTCCCCCTTGCGGGGTTCCTCTGTTGACATACCTTGACTGGGTGGACGATCCCATCGATGATGTCACCGTCCTGCGTATGAGCAATTGATCAATGAGCATCACCAAGTGACGGTCCACCCCCAGGTCAGTCAGGGCTTCAGTAATGGCGCCCGGTGTGACGTTGTTGAAGGCTCCCTCGATATCGAGAAAAGCTATTAGTGAGTATTCTTTGAGATGCAGGGATTTTTCTACACTCGAGATCACTTCGTGAAGTGCCGTTTCCGTGGATTTTCCTTTCCGGTAGGCATGCTGCGCACTTGAGTACAGCTGGGGACTTATGGTGGTCCGTAATTGTAACCCGATAAGTCTCTCAAAGGTTTTGAGTAGGAAAGACGATAAACTGATTGGTCTAAAGTCTTTTGGGGTTGAGTGTGAGGCTTTGCCTGCTTTAGGGATGAAAACTATCCTAGCCTTAAGCCACGCTTGCGGTATTGTACATACCGCCAGTATCTTCCTGAAGATACTATGTAGCCAGTTGATGGCCGTCTCCCCGGCCCTCTGAAGCTGGGCCGGGATTACCTGGTCCGGGCCTGGCGATTTAAACGGGTTGAAGCTGTTTACTGCCCAACTTATGTTCCGTTTTGTAAGGATATGGTCCATCGATTCTACCGATCCCTCTCTTGGGAGGTGAGACGGCTCGGTGGATGTGCATCCGGGGAAGTGCGTGTCGAGCAAAATGTGCAGGGACTCCTCACTAGAGTTGGTCCACGTGCCATCATTCTTTTTGAGGTACCCTACCGAGGGGGTGGTTTTTGAGAGAACTTTCCGGAGTCTTGCGGCCTCCGAGGTTTCCTCGATTTCGGAGCAAAATTTTTGCCAGGAGGCTCTTTTAGCCTTCCTCGTTTCCTTTTTGTATAGTGCTAGACTGGTTTTATAGTCTGCCCAGTGAGTATCCTCCTTAGTTCTTGTGGCTCTGTTGAATAGAGTCCTGCAAGTTCTACGAAGGGTGTCTAGTTGCTTGGACCACCAGGGGGGTTTCTTTTTTCCCCTTGGTCTGGTAGAGGGACATGCTGCCTTGAAGGCTTTGTTGCACGCATCCGTAAACCTGTACACAAGACGGTTTAGGTTGTCTTCAGTGTTCGGGCAGTTAGGGGCGTTAGGAGGGAGTAGCTCCTCCAGCGTTGTGCTATATTTTTCCCAGTTGGCTTTTCTGGGGTTGATATAGTCTGTTGGTTTGGGAATATCGAAGGATAATATCGTCTCGATATACCTGTGGTCCGAGAAGGAGTGGTCTCCTAGGACTCTCCAGCTCTTGATTGTGTCCAGCAGTTTGCTTGACACTAGCGTGAGGTCAATGACCTCCTGCCGATTTTTAATTATAAAAGTGGGGTCATTACCCCGATTGCATATGAATAAATTTGAGTTCAGGATGAA